AGCCTAATGGTACAACATGGATTATAGCAGCTAGTAGGCCTAGGAGCCTCTCTCTCACTCTCTCTGGCGCTGTCACCTGTTTTCTCAGTTTGAATGTTGAAAGACAATTTGTCAAAGATGCCACTCTTTCTGGAGAGAGTGTTGCTCGCATGATTTGAGTGTCTGATGTCAAGCCCAGGAAGTGCGCACACTGAGTGGGGACCAGATAACTATTTTCCAAGTTCATTGTTAGTCCCAACTCCGAGAGGTGATGTGGGACCATGGATGTGTGTGCCAAGGCTTTGTGACCCTGCACATATTAGCCAATTGTCTAAGTAGTTCAGAACCCTGACTTCTGCTTGGCAATGGGGGGCTAGCTCTGTGCTTATGCACTTGGTGAAAGGCCGAAGGGTAGAACGGAAACCTGAAAAACATGTTTTTCGAAGGCAAATCTCAGATTTTCTGTGTGCTGGTTGAATGGGGATATGAAAGTCTTTCAGGTCCACTGTGGCGAACCAATCGCCTGGTCCTACTGACTGAAGGATGGTTTTGATTGTCAGCATTTTGAATGGAAGTGCTGAAAGATGAGGATTAAGGCACCTTAGGTCCAGGACGGACGGAGGCCGCCGCCCTTTTTTGGCACCAAAAAATATATTGAGTAGAACCCACAGTTTTGTTGTGCTGGTTCTACCTCTTCAATTACATGGAGCAAGGAGATTTCAGAGCAGAGTGTTTGCTTTTGATCAGGGTTGCGAGCTGTTGTTTTCAAGACACCCCTGAAGCGTGGGGGTCAGCAAAACATTTTTGTAGTGCGTAGCCTTTTGTAGATTGCGTTACACTCACTTGTAGGCCGTTGACCTTTTCCAGTTGGAAAGGTGGTGCTCGAGGAAACAGTGTTGCGCTAGTCTGTCCCATCAGGACCGAGGCTCTGCGTGCTGTGGTGCAGAGGGGCCTGCATATGGTGCGCTTCTGCCTCTTGGGCGATGTTGTGCTCCACCTCTTCGGTAGGGCTGAGTGTTTCTGAGTCTGGTTTCTTGGCATCCCAGTTGGGGCCCTGGGACGGGAGTAATGGTTTGCTGGCTGATGCATTCTAGGCTTTGGAATGAAGCTCCATCTGTGCTTCTTTGGCCGCTGCTCAGCCAAATGTCTGGCCCGGTGATATGGGTACACCTAGGAGTGGAACCTTCTCTTTGTCAGGGAGATTGGACTACACTAACCATAGGTGGTGCCGTGTAACACACATCATGTTGGCAAAGATTTCCCAACCGTCTGAGCATTGCCCTGAAGGCATTGGATGAGCAGGTCTGTAACTGAGGCTGGGAGTTGTTTTTCACACTGTTGACATGGGTGGAACGACATCCTGTCTACAGCACTGACTCCGTGTGTTCCAAGAAAAGGGTAACACGGGTCAACAAGCTCCAACAAATGGTACAACAAGCCAACTAGCTACGGTAGCTATGTGTGGCTAACTTAGCTAGCTAGCTACGAGCTAACGTCTGAGGTAGCTTCGGGTCTATCCCGTTAACTAGCTAGCTAGCGAACACACAAGGATGGAAATGCCTGACACAAAGCAATACAAGTTAGCTAGTATGGGCCAGCACAATAATGACAGAGAGGGGGAGTAGATAAACATCAACTACTCCTGAGACTGTGAGGTGATGACTTATGTTTGTGAACCCATTTAGTTCTGTATTGTAGCTTGTGAGATACTATTTGACTGTGTATGTGTGCTATGTTGGAGGATATGTCTGGATGTCATGCTACATGTTTTTATGCTGTACAATGTTTTATTATAATTTATTTTTTTGTTCATTTGTTTGCCGAAAAAATAAATACAACTTCAATAGCAAAACAAACAAAAAAATATACACTGCTCAAAAAAAATAAAGGGAACACTTAAACAACACAATGTAACTCCAAGTCAATCACACTTCTGTGAAATCAAACTGTCCACTTAGGAAGCAACACTGATTGACAATACATTTCACATGCTGTTGTGCAAATGGAATAGACAACAGGTGGAAATTATAGGCAATTAGCAAGACACCTCCAATAAAGGACTGGTTTTGCAGGTGGTGACCACAGACCACTTCTCAGTTCCTATGCTTCCTGGCTGATGTTTTGGTCACTTTTGAATGCTGGCGGTGCTTTCACTCTAGTGGTAGCATGAGACGGAGTCTACAACCCACACAAGTGGCTCAGGTAGTGCAGCTCATCCAGGATGGCACATCAATGCGAGCTGTGGCAAGAAGGTTTGCTGTGTCTGTCAGCGTAGTGTCCAGAGCATGGAGGCGCTACCAGGAGACAGGCCAGTACATCAGGAGACGTGGAGGAGGCCGTAGGAGGGCAACAACCCAGCAGCAGGACTGCTACCTCCGCCTTTGTGCAAGGAGGAGCAGGAGGACCACTGCCAGAGCCCTGCAAAATGACCTCCAGCAGGCCACAAATGTGCATGTGTCTGCTCAAACGGTCAGAAACAGACTCCATGAGGGTGGTATGAGGGCCCGACGTCCACAGGTGGGGGTTGTGCTTACAGCCCAACACCGTGCAGGATGTTTGGCATTTGCCAGAGAACACCAAGATTGGCAAATTCGCCACTGGCGCCCTGTGCTCTTCACAGATGAAAGCAGGTTCACACTGAGCACGTGACAGACGTGACAGAGTCTGGAGACGCCGTGGAGAACGTTCTGCTGCCTGCAACATCCTCCAGCATGACTGGTTTGGCGGTGGGTCAGTCATGGTGTGGGGTGGCATTTCTTTGGGGGGCCGCACAGCCCTCCATGTGCTCGCCAGAGGTAGCCTGACTGCCATTAGGTACCGAGATGAGATCCTCAGACCCCTTGTGAGACCATATGCTGGTGTGGTTGGCCCTGGGTTCCTCCTAATGCAAGACAATGCTAGACCTCATGTGGCTGGAGTGTGTCAGCAGTTCCTGCAAGAGGAAGGCATTGATGCTATAGACTGGCCCGCCCGTTCCCCAGACCTGAATCCAATTGAGCACATCTGGGACATCATGTCTCGCTCCATCCACCAACGCCACGTTGCACCACAGACTGTCCAGGAGTTGGCGGATGCTTTAGTCCAGGTCTGGGAGGAGATCCCTCAGGAGACCATCCGCCACCTCATCAGGAGCATGCCCAGGCGTTGTAGGGAGGTCATACAGGCACTTGGAGGCCACACACACTACTGAGCCTCATTTTGACTTGTTTTAAGGACATTACATCAAAGTTGGATCAGCCTGTAGTGTGGTTTTCCACTTTAATTTTGAGGGTGACTCCAAATCCAGACCTCCATGGGTTGATATGAAATCCATGTGATTTTGTTGTCAGCACATTCAACTATGTAAAGAAAAAAGTATTTAATAATATTTATTTCATTCATTTTAGATCTAGGATGTGTTATTTTAGTGTTCCCTTTATTTTTTGGAGCAGTGTATATAATCAACTACTCATGGCCAGGGCTCGAAATTAAGGGCATCCCGTCGTCCAGAGGATGACAAAAAAATGTCTGGGACAGTTCAAAACGGAAGTTATAGCCCCGTGTAGATCAGTTGGTAGAGCATGGCGCTCACAACGCCAGGGTTGTGGGTTCGATTCCCACGGGGGACCAGTATGAATGAAAATGTATGCACTCACTACTGTAAATCGCTCTGTAAGAGCGTCTACTAAATGACTAAAATTTGAGAAAATCTGAGTGGCTGGGTAGATTTTTTAAAAATCTACCTGCCACAGTTGCTGGTGTACCAAAATGTACATTTTAGCCCTGGCCGTTAGCAAGTGGTGGCGCTCAAGATGGGGAAGGCGACCATTCTTCAGTGACTGAAGAGGGAGGATGAAGCAGAGAATGTGAAGGCGGGGGAACACACGTTCTTTGTTGTGTTACGTTGTTGAATGGGGCAGCTGGTGGTGGAATGTAATGTATCTAACTTAAGTTTATTCAGTAACCAGTTCACAATAACATTGTTCTCTCTTAGATACATTGTATACATGTGGTTAGCATGATCAATTAATACATTGTAATTATTTATAATAAATCAAATGTTATTTGTCACTTACACCTGTTTAGCAGATGTTATTGCCGGTGTAGCGAAATGCTTGTGTAATGGATGTTTGTCTGTTTTCATTAAAGATGCAAAAATGTTTTTTCTTAACAAAGTCTATATTACATTAACTTAATATCTGCCTCCAGAAATCCACCAATAACTTTATAAACACTGCAAATGTTTTAATTTTGGGACTGTTCAAGTTCTGTTTGGGACAGTTGAAATTGCACTTCGGGACGGTGAGGAAAAAGCCCTGCTCATGGCTCCTCCTCGTTGTTGAAGAATCATCATTCTGTAAAAAAGTCATCTGAAGGGGATCTCGTAATGTAAAACACATAAATGTGAGAGGGAAGAAAAGGCAGAGTCACGCCACACCGCCTTTTATAGTGACTGGTCACGTGGGTACATTAAGGGTGTGGCGTGACTGTAAACATCTTTGATATTATGCATTTCAATCACATCACGTGAAGGGGAAGGAGTTCCCATAGGTTGTTCGGCGACCTGTTAGAAAACGAAATAACTTACAACCAAAATGGAGAACTGCTGTCTGCTTGCTATTTTGTCACATGAGTAGGTGGTCATGTGAGGTCCTGTCAAAGCGTGATGCTGAAACCTAGCATGACCACTTCTTCTCTTGATCCTAAGAGAGGGAACGAAACAGCAAACGTTGACAGTGCACAGCCTCGTCTCCTCTGATTACAGAACATCGGCCTTCATTTTCTGTTAATTTCCTGATGATTCTACATGCTGAATCGCCACAGTTCGTCACCCAGCAGGTGATCTACTGAGAACGGCCGGTGTTCGTTATGGTGTGTTCTGTCCATAAATCTGCTATAATATGGACTTGCCTGACCCTTTAGCTTAGAGCCTAAATAAAACAAGACCACTATCGAGGGCTTGAACTGATTTCTTCGCTACGTCATGTTGATGTTCTCTGTCAGCTAGGCATAACCAGTGTATTGACTCTTCCCTTATGCAGCTGCCCAATGAAGAGGAGGCTCTCCAGGTGGCAGCTGAAGCCCCACCCCCTTACAGCAGCATTGCAGCAGATAATGCAGGTAAGAGTTCAATGCACACACACATCACAGTGGAGTGTTATGGTTTGGCCTGGGGGTCAATGTCTTTACCGTTGCTCCGAGAGACATTGGACATTACACAGTCCAGAACTAAACTAGAACAAGTCAAGTATATTTTTTTATGACAGAGGAGATTTCCCTACTAGCCTAGCGTTAGGTTTACTTATGGTGTTACAGCAATTAGCCTACCATAAGGGGATATATGGCACTCAAATGTAACACAGCAGCTTATTTCACTTATTTACCTCCCTTAGCTTATTTTGACTACAAAGAGGATGGGGGGTTCCCCAAGCCACCATCATACAACGTGGCCACAACGCTCCCTTCCTATGACGAGGCAGAGAGAACCAAGGCTGAAGCCCATGTTCCCTTGGTGGCTGGAAGGGTGAGTCTTCCACTGCTACAAACTCCACATAACCCTCCCTTGTGGTTTTGCCGGACTATTTTGTGTTCATCCAGGTTCTGTGTTGTGGGTGTGGCAGAAAGGAATTCAGTCCCTGTGTGTATTGAAGGTCAGAATACCTCCTAAGTCCATTTGTTTAGTATTTTTTTGAAGGTGTGGCTGATCTCCCAAGTAACCAACCTCGCCTCAGTTTTGTGTACTATTTACATTGAGCTGAAGGCAGGCTAGTTTCTGAAAATGACACCATGAACCCCATTGCATCTAATTGCATATAATATCAAAGTACGCCTGTTTAACCATGGGTGTGTGTGTAGGTATATACTGTACTTAGTATAGGTTGAGTCTGTATTGACAGTGAGTCACACATTGTGGGCGGACCCGCGCTAATCATCACTGGCAGACACGCCCTAATGATCACTGGCGGACAGACGCCTTAAGAGAGGGCGACGGCTCATCTATGCCCTCTAGTGGGAAATGTTTTGCCTTACCACCTTACGTGTCCTCCCATGACTGGTCTGTTTCTTTGTCACACATTGCCAGCCTTGTGTTCAGCACGGGGAACGGCTGGAAACGTTTGATGATGTACCAACTGGACAGTAACGGGGTGAAATAGAATAGTACCGTTAGGCAAAGATGTGGCAACCGTTTGCAGAGACCTGTGTCGGCCTGTAGAGGGTTTGTACATTAGTGCTGTATTTCCTGATAGCACATCAAATGTTATTTTTCAACTAAATTTAAACATCTCCAGCTGAATAACTAGAACATCCACTACATTAGGGACATGTCAAGGAAGAGAAGGACATCCTTTGTTTGTAGCATGAATGTTTGCGGTCTTGGTTGATATAGCCTGCAATGGGGTTTCCATCATCAAATTACTTGATAATAATCTACACCATTTCTTTATCTCTGCAGGATGACGACTTTGCAGCCAGGGAAGACTTTGAGGATGCAGACCAGCTACAGATAGGGAACGATGGGATTTTCATGTTGACCTTTTTTAGTAAGTTGCATCTTGAAGTTGAATCTTCTCCTCCTTGGTGGAGACTGGGGTTAGTATAATGAAGAAGAGGCATGTAATGTATTTATTTTATGATGTGATCTTAGAATGGTAATTGTGTTGAGAAACGGCCCATCTTAGTAGACCTTATGCACAGGTCTGTTTTAAAGCCCCTTCTCCTCTCACCCTCTCTTCCCCTAGAGAATAAAGGAGAAGGAGGAGGAGAGAAGAAGAGACGAGAGAGAGAAAAAGAGAGGAGAGAGAGACGACAACAGAGAGAGAGGGAGAGAAGGAGAGCGAAGGAGAAAAAGAGAGGAGAACAGAAGAAAGCAGTCGAGAGAGCGGAACGAGAGAGAGAGAAGAGAGAGCAGGAGAAGAGGAGGAAAATAAAGACGAGAGAGAGAGAGAGACGAAAGAGAGAAGAAGAGAGACGGGACAGAAAGAAGAGGAGAGGGGAGAGGAGAGAAAAAGACGGGAGAGAGAGAAGCGATGGAGAGACACCCTCAGAACGTTGAGATGAAACGATATCCTATAGCTAATGCATGGCTAACCATCCAAGTCTCTTCTGCACTCTTTCTCTGCAGCTCTATCTCCTGACTAGACAACATCGAGAATGCAACACCGGACGCAACCCGCCAGCACAGAAAACAAGAGAGCACCGATGAGGGAAACAGCTGAAGTACGAGCCTCGCTAGCAGAGAGCAAATAGACCTCTCTCCTAACTCTCATCTCTCTCTCTCTCTCCAACTCTCTCTCTCGCCACCTCTCTCTACCACTACCTCTCTCTCTCTCTCTCTCTCTCTACCTCTCTCTCTCTCTCTCTCTCTCTACCTCTCTCTCTCTCCACATCTCTCTACCTCTCTCTCTCTCTCTTCACCTCTCTCTCCACCTCTCTCTCTCTCCCTCCACTTCAGTGGCATTCCTCTTCAACTGGATTGGTTTCTTCCTGTCCTTCTGTCTGACCACCTCAGCAGCAGGCCGCTACGGGGCCATATCTGGCTTCGGCCTGTCACTCATCAAGTGGATCCTCATCGTCCGGGTAACATATCCCTACCAACCCTCTCTATGTTGTGAAGGTGGTAGGAAAACATTTCCCAGATTTTTTAAAAACCTTTGTTTTATACAACAGATACATTAAATACTTTATTAAAATTATATGTAGTGATATTTTGGTCAGAGAAGTTTTTGTTTCATTTACTTTTAAGTCATTTAGCAGACGCTCTTATCCAGAGCGACTTACAAATTGGTACATTCAACTTATGATAGCCAGTGGGACAACCACTCCCTTTTTTATTTTTATTTTATATATGTGTGGGGGGGATAGAAGGATTACTTTATACTATTCCAGGTATTCCTTAAAGGGGTAGGGTTTCAAGTGTCTCCGGAAGGATGTCAGTGACTCCGCTGTCCTGGCGTTGTGGGGGAGCTTGTTCCACCATTGGGGTTCCAGAGCAGCAAATAGCTTTGACTGGGCTGAGCAAGAACTGTTATTCCGTAGAGGTAGGGGGGCTAGCAGGTCAGAGGTGCATGAACGTAGTGCCCTTGTTTGGGTGTAGGGTCTGATCAGAGCCTGAAGGTAAGGAGGTGCCGTTCCCCTCACAGCTCCGTAGGCAAACACCATGGTTTTGTAGTTGATGCAAGCTTCAACTGGAAGCAAGTGGAGTGTACGGAGGAGCGGGGTGACATGAGAGAACTTGGGAAGTTTGAACACCAGACGGGCTGCAGCGTTCTGGATAAGTTGTAGGGGTTTAATGGCACAGGCAGGGAGCCCAGCCAACAGCGAGTTGCAGTAATCCAGACCGGAGATGACAAGTGCCTGGATTAGGACCTGTGCCACTTTCTGTGTAAGGTAGGGTCGTACACTGCAAATGTTGTAGAGCATGAACCTGCCAGATCGGGTCACCGCTTTGATGTTAGCGGAGAACGACAGGGTGTTGTCCAGGGTCACGCCAAGGTTCTTTGCACTAATATAACACTAAGAGGCGTCTAGTGGCAGGGATCTTATGACAGAACACTTCCGTTTACCCATTCAATTATTGGGAGCATATTTACAGTAGCCTGACGACTCATACTAAATTCTTCAGCTGTGCTGTTGTTCGCTACATACTTTAGTCTGAGACTGCCATCATTGAAGTTGTTTGTGGTGACGAGGTGCACGATTGGATCATCTCTAACCATTGAGTATCAAAGCCAATGACACGTTTTCAAACTGCCGCTTTACCCACGTGGCTATGGCCCAACCCATCGGTTTCTGGACTAATCAGATGGCCCTGAATGTGTTGGCATTTGGTGAAGGGTCAGGGAGGTACTCAGATCCAGACTCATTGGGGAGAAGAAACTAACGTCTGTGGGCGTGGCCAGGCAATATTTAGTGTGTGTGACTATTTATTTATTTTTACACAAGATATCACTACTAAAGCCCTCTGAGCTTTAGTTTCAGGTTTTATTGTCATATGCACAGGACACAGCAGGTGTAAAACAGTACAGTGAAATGCTTAACTTGCGAGCTCTTTCCCAACAATCAAAGTTGGGTCGGAGCTCGCAAACTGCCATCATACAGTACAGCGGCATCTTGGAGCAGTGATCTGATGTTTCCCACTCCCAGAGCCCAAGATCACGTTCATGCTTTACTCTGACTGGTCCACTTATCTGTTAATGTTTCTGTGATTTTCCCAGTTCTCCAGCTACTTCCCCGGGTACTTTGATGGGCAGTACTGGCTGTGGTGGGTGTTCCTGGTAATGGGTAGGTACAACCAGTTTTCTGTTAGTATTTCTCATTAGTAGTACTAGACAGGTAAATGAAGAAACATTGTAGCATTGGTGCAGAGGGGTGTTTTTATAAATGAGGGTACTAGTGAGGATTTCCTACACTGGACAACGTGTTACAGCTGTTGATAAGTCATTGATAATAATCTGCCACATTTTTTAAAATTACATATACATATTTAATATATAAAGGGGGATCATAGCTATATTCAATAAAAATTCACGAGTTGATTTCAAACCTATGATGACGGATTTGTCAAATTGTGTGACATAAAACATTAACTTTTCTGTCCATGCATTTATGGCAGTGTAAGTTACATATTCAGACCTCATTTTGGTACATGACAGCCTTATTCTAAAATGGATGAATAAAAAAAATAAAAAAAAAGCATCAATCTACACACGATACCCCATAATGACAAAGCGAAAACAGGTTTTTAGAAATTTTTCCAAATGTATTAAAAATGGAAAACGGATCAAATCAAATGTTATTGGCCACATGCGCTGAACACAACAGGTGCAGACATTACAGTGAAATGCTTACTTACAGCCCTTAAACAACAGTGCATTTATTTTTAATAAAAAAGTAAAATAAAACAACAACAAAAAAGTGTTGAGAAAAAAAGAGCAGAAGTAAAATAAAATAACAGTAGGGAGGCTATACAGTGGGGAAAAATAGTATTTAGTCAGCCACCAATTGTGCAAGTTCTCCCACTTAAAAAGATGAGAGTGGCCTGTAATTTTCATCATAGGGACACGGCAACTATGACAGACAAAATGAGAAAAAAAATCCAGAAAATCACATTTATTTGCAAATTATGGTGGAAAATAAGTGTTTGGTCAATAACAAAAGTTTCTCAATACCGTTCTTGTGATCATTTTGACCCCACGGGGTGAGATCTTGCGTGGAGGCCCAGATCGAGGGAGATTATCAGTGGTCTTGTATGTCTTCCATTTCCTAATAATTGCTCCTACAGTTGATTTCTTCAAACCAAGCTGCTTACCTATTGGAGATTCAGTCTTCCCAGCCTGGTGCAGGTCTACAATTTTGTTTCTGGTGTCCTTTGACAGCTCTTTGGTCTTGGCCATAGTGGAGTTTGGAGTGTGACTGTTTGAGGTTGTGATCAGGTGTCTTTTATACTGATAACAAGTTCAAACAGGTGCCATTAATACAGGTAACGAGTGGAGGACAGAGGAGCCTCTTAAAGAAGTTGTTACAGGTCTGTGAGAGCCAGAAATCTTGCTTGTTTGTAGGTGACCAAATACTCATTTTCCACCATAATTTGCAAATAAATTCATTAAACATCCTACAATGTGATTTTCTGGATTTGTTTTCTCATTTTGTCTGTCATAGTTGACGTGTACCTATGATGAAAATTACAGGCCTCTCTCATCTTTTTAAGTGGGAGAACTTGCACAATTGGTGGCTGACTAAATACATTTTTTCCCCACTGTATATACAGTGCAGAGTCAATGTGCGGGGGCACCGGCTAGTTGAGGTAGTTGAAGTAATATGTACATGTGGGTAGAGTTAAAGTGACAATGCATAAATAATTAACAGTAGCAGCAGCGTAATATTGCAGTGCAAATAGTCCGGGTAGCCATGATTAGCTGTTCAGGAGTCTTATGGCTTAGGGGTTGAAGATGTTGAGAAGTCTTTTGGACCTAGACTTGGCACTCCGGTACCGCTTGCTGTGCGGTAGCAGAGAGAACAGTCTATGACTAGGGTGGCTGGAGTCTTTGACAGTTTTGAGGGCCTTCCTCTGACACCACCTGGTATAGAGGTCCTGGATGGCAGGAAGCTTGGCCCCAGTGATGTACGCACTACCCTCTGTAGTGCCTTGCGGTCGGAGGCCAAGCAGTTGCCATACCAGGCGGTGATGCAACCAGTCAGGATGCTCTCGATGGTGCAGCTGTAGAATTTTTTGAGGGTCTGAGGACCCATGCCAAATCTTTTCAGTCTCCTGAGGGGGAATAGGCTTTGTCGTGCCCTCTTCATGACTGTCTTGGTGTGTTTGGACCATGATAGTTTGTTGGTGATGTGGACACCAAGGAACTTGAAGCTCTCAACCTGTTCCACTACAGCCCCGTCGTTGAGAATGGGGGCGTGCTCAGTCCTCTTTTTTTTTTTTCCTGTAGTCCACAATAATCTCCTTTGTCTTGGTCACGTTGAGGGAGAGGTTGTTATCCTGGCACCACACGGCCAGGTCTCTGACCACCTCCCTATAGGCTGTCTCATCCTTGTCGGTAATCAGGCCTACCACTGTTGTTTCGTCGGCAAACTTAATGATGGTGTTGGAGTCGTGCCTGGCCATGCAGTCATGGGTGAACAGGGAGTATAGGAGGGGACTGAGCACGCACCCCTGAGGGGCCCCCGTGTTGAGGATCAGTGTGGCAGATGTGTTGTTACCTACCCTTACCACCTGGGGGCGGCCCGTCAGGAAGTCCAGGATCCAGTTGCAGAGGGAGGTGTTTAGTCCCAGGATCCTTAGCTTAGTGATGAGCTTTGAGGGCACTATGGTGTTGAATGCTGAGCTGTAGTCAATGAATAGCATTCTCATGTAGGTGTTCCTCTTGTCCAGGTGGGAAAGGGCAGTGTGGAGTGCAATAGAGATTGCATCATCTGTGGATCTGTTGGGGCGGTATGCAAATTGGAGTGGGTCTAGGGTTTCTGGGATAATGGTGTTGATGTGAGCCATGACCAGCCTTTCAAAGCACTTCATGGCTACAGACGTCAGTGCTACAGGTCGGTAGTCATTTAGGCAGGTTATCTTAGTGTCCTTGGGCACGGGGACTATGGTGGTCTGCTTGAAACATGTTGGTATTACAGACTCAGTCAGGGACATGTTGAAAATGTCAGTGAAGCACATGCTCGGAGTACACGTCCTGGTAATCCGTCTGGCCCTGCAGCCTTGTGAATGTTGACCTGCTTAAAAGTCTTACTCACATCGGCTACGGAGAGCGTGATCACATATTCATCCGGAACAGCTGGTCCTCTCATGCATGCTTCAGTGTTGCTTGCCTCAAAACGAGCATAGACGTGGTTTAGCTCGTCTGGAAGTCTTGTGTCAATACCTTTTATTATTTAAGTGTTCAGACCCTTTGCTATGAGAATCGAAATTGAGCTCAGGTGCATCCTGTTTCCATTGATCATCCTTTAAATGTTTCTACAACTTGATTGGAGTCCAGCTGTGGTACATTCAATTGATTGGACATGATTTGGAAAGGCACTCAACTGTCTATATAAGGTCCCACAGTTGGCAGTGCATGTCAGAGCAAAAACCAAGCCATGAGGTCGAAGGAATTGTCTGTAGAGCTCCGAGACCGGATTGTGTCGCGGCACAGATCTGGGGAAGGGTACTAAAACATTTCTGCAGCATTGAAGGTCCCTAAGAACACAGTGGCCTCCATCATTCTTAAATGGAAGAAGTTTTTAACCACCAAGACTCTTCCTAGAGCTGGCCACCCGGACAAACTGAGCAATCGAGGGAGAAGGGCCTTGGTCAGGGAGATGACCAAGAACCCGATGGCCACTCTGACAGATCTCCAGAGTTTATCTGTAGAGATGGCAGAACCTTCCAGAAGGACAACCATCTCTGCAGCACTCCACCAATCAGGCATTTATGGTAGAGTGGCCAGACGTAAGCCACTCCTCAGTAAAAGGCACATGACAGCCCGCTTGGAGTTTGCCAAAAGGCACCTAAAGGACTCTCAGACCATGAGAAACAAGATTCTCTGTTCTGATGAAACCAAGATTGAACTCTTTAGCCTGAATGCCAAGCGTCACGTCTGGAGGAAACCTGGCACCATCCCTACGGTGAAGCATGGGAGTGGCAGCATCATGCTGTGGGGATGTTTTTCAGCGGCAGGGACTGGGAGACTAGTCAGGATCGAGGGAAAGATGAACGGAGCAAATCCTTGATGAAAACCAGCTCAAGAGCGCTCAGGACCTCAGACTGGGGCAAAGGTTCACCTTCCAACAGGACAATGACCCTAAGCACACAGCCAAGACCACGCAGGAGTGGCTTCGGGACAGGTTTCTGAATGTCCTTGAGTGGCCCAGCCAGACCCTGGACTTGAACCCGATCAAACATCTCTGGAGAGACCTGAAAATAGCTGTACAGCGACGCTCCCCATCCAATCTGACAGCGCTTGACAGGATCTGCAGAGAAGAATGGGAGAAACTCCCCAAATACAGGTGTGCCAAGCTTGTAGCGTCATACCCAAGAAGGCTCGAGGCTGTAATCACTGCCAAAGGTGCTTCAACAGAGGTACTGAGTAAAGGGTCTGAATACTTAAATAAATGTGATATTTCAGTTTTCTTTATTTTTTGTAGCAAACATTTTAAAAAACCTGTTTTTGCATTATGGAGTATTGTGTGTAGATTGCTGACGGGTGGAAAAAAACAATTTAATTAATTTTAGAATAAGGCTGTAACGCAACAAAATGTGGAAAAAGTCAAGGGGTCTGAATATTTTCCGAATGCACTGTATATCATATATTAAGCATTAATCAGTTAAATTAGACATTTCACTTGAACCCTGTAAGAATCCTGGATCTAGCTATCGTACAGTTTTTTTGTATAGAGATCTCAGAAATGCAGTGTAACTACATAATATTTAGTGTCTCCTTATGTTACGGGGTGAAAACAGTTTTCATGGGCACACATAATGTATGCATTGCTAAATCAAATGCTTCTAACTGAAAGTCACCTTTACTTTGATACTTAAATCCTAAATCGATACTATCATTAACGTGGTTCTTTAACAATTATGCATAATCCTTGTTGGATGCACATTTGGTGTCCAGCTGATTAGTTATGCGGTGATCCAGGAAGGAATTTTCCGAATGACATTGAAGTGACCAACAGCTGTTGTGAAAGCCATGCAATGCAACAACAGCCCAAGTGCTGGAAAAAAAGGTGTTGTGAGGAATGTCCAGAATATTTTGGTGTCTCATTCATTATGCGGGTGAAGACAGTTGTGCCTGGATCCACGTTGGATCTAATATCCCTAGCAAATTGAAGTTGATCATCTATTGTCTGCTTGATTTACAGCAGGGTCTTTATTTAACAGAGAAAGCATCACGGTAATGAGTTAATGTTTTTGTGCCTCAGCTTGGACACTGAGTCTACTGTGCACGATTGTGTAGGATAGACTGTTACACAACACCCAACGCTATTCCTATTAATTCTTCTGGATATAATGTCTTGAAGTAGCCTACTTGAATTTGGAGCTCAGAAATGCAAGTACTGTAATAAGCCTACCTTGAAAATCAGACGTTTCCTCAATTTGGTGCTTAAAAATATATTGTAATTATTGTAGCCAATTTATAAGTTCTCCTTGTCCCTCATACTTATGTGATTTTATTTTTGATCCGTTTTTGTGAGAGATTTGGCCATTTTTGTATTCCCCCCCCCCCGCTGCTTTAATTGAAGGGTGTTGCGCTACTCTGTTGCGGTAAAACCACGTGCGGTTATTATGAGGACAACAACATCTGTTGGCTTCAACTTGGCTTTCCATACAAATCCTTCCATTAAGAAAGACGGAAGGAACATGTTTTTTGGTCACTCTCTCATTATAAAAACCGCCATGTTGAGATTCAAATGGTGAGATTAATGCTACGGCTATTAGTGGCTTTATTATGTGTCCACACAGACCTCTTTATCAGGCCCTATATGTACAATTGTATAACATTGAGGTCCTTGAAAATGACCATTTAAGTGCTTGAAAAAGTCCCTGAAAGTCCTTGAATTTGACTTGCCAATGTCTGTAAGAACCCTTCTTAAAGGACGTATAGTCCTAGGGCTATGTTGTATAGGTGGAGTTATGGGCCAATTTGCATATATTCACTTTATTCCTCTAAGTGCACATGGAACTGCATGAAAATCCATTTTATTTGTTTCAAACCATTTAGATTTTTTTATTCCCAATGTCACACATTGGTCCCATTTTTATTTAAATAAATACAGAGAAGTATCTATTAGGGTGTTCCATCCCGAGAATAAATCCCTTTCTCCTGTCTAACCCGGTATTGCCTGCTAAAACTGGAAGTGGCATTCAAAAGCATTATAAATCATATAAATAGGTCTGTCCCTGGATTTGATCAGAGCTTTGATCTAAAATTCAAGCCTGATGATACCTGAGCCTGATGAGCCATACATTAAATACATTTCATGAGCGCTACATTAAAGACATTTTAATGAGGCCAAGCCCAAATGATTGTGCCGTTATCCAATACGTACAGTACCAGTCAAAAGTTTGGACACCTATTCTTTCCAGGGTTTTTCTTTAGTTTTACTATTTTCTACATTGTAGAATAATAGTGAAGACATCAAAACTTTGAAATAACACATGGAATCATGTAACCAAAAAAGTGTTTATATTTCAGATTCTTTAAATAGCCACCCTTTGCCTTGTTGACAGCTTTGCACACTCTTGGCATTCTCTCAACCAGCTTCACCTGGAATGCTTTTCCAACAGTCTTGAAGGAGTTCCCACATATGCTGGCTGTGTATATATCTCTCCTAATGTTATTAGCCTAGTAGGCTCTCTCTCTCTCTATTGTTGCTTCATTCTTTTCTCGCTTTCAACAGTTTACATTTACATTTTACATTTTAGTCATTTAACAGACGCTCTTATCCAGAGCGACTTACAGGAGCAATTAGGGTTAAGTGCCTTGCTCAAGGGCACATCGACAGATTTTTCACCTAGTTGGCTCGGGGATTAGAACCAGCAACCTTTCGGTTACTGGCACAATGCTCTTAACCACTAAGCTACCTGCCGCCCAGTTAAATGAAATACGTTTTGTTGTCCTTATCTTATTCATTCTGACATCCTTGAATATTATAGGACTAGAATTAGATACAGAAGGCTTTCACTTCTCTTGGCGAAGATAATTTAATAGTTGTGGGTCTGAATAAATAACTGCTATAGCCTACCGCCATCGCGCGTTCGCTCTTCTTTCAAACTACCCGTGAGTTCTATTGGCTGCTGTTTTTAACATTCAACAAACAAGATCTTCGAATAGTCTATTGGTATAATAAATGCTAACATAATAATGTCCAGCAAGCTATTCTAGTCTAGCTTTTCCTACATGGGGCTCCAAGAGCTAAGGAGTGTTTTTTAAGGAGAGGCCAGTGGCGCACAGGTGCTTGCGTATTGCACAAGAGACAGAGGCTATAAGTTAGAAGCTTATTATGCATAACCAATCATTAATTAGCTAAATATAAGGCTAATACTGTATTGCATTTATTACCTGAAAGAGGTAGGCTAGGACATATAGATATATCAATATAAAACATGATTATCTATTTTGGATGCAATTTGATTGGAATTGATGGAGAGAGAGACTACGAGAATGCTCTCGCATGCACTGATTTTTAAAGCAACGATATTCGAGTGACAGGATGTTTTTAAAACTCTGCAGCTGCAATAAAAAATAAAACAAATCTTTACAATTTAAAAAATAAGGTGACCCCGAAAGCCAGATGGAGATGGGTAAATTAGACGCGTATTCTGTATTTATATTATAGGCTATGCTGCAGCAAATGTCAAAAGTTTTGAGAATGACACAAATACTAATTTTCACAAAGTCTGCTGCCTCAGTTTTGATGATGGCAATTTGCATATACTCCAGAATGTCATGAAGAGTGATCAGATGAATTGGAATTAATTGCAAAGGCCATGAAAATGAACTTAATCCCCAAAAAACATTTCCACTGCATTTCAGCCCTGCCACAAAAGGACCAGCTGCCATAATGTCAGTGATTCTCTCGTTAACACAGGTGAGAGTGTTGACGAGGACAAGGCTGGAGATCACTCTGTCAGGCTGATTGAGTTAGAATAACAGACTGGAAGCTTTAAAAGGAGGGTGGTGCTTGAAATCATTGTTCTTCCTCTGTTAACCATGGTTACCTTCAAGGAAACACGTGCCGTCATCATTGCTTTGCACAAAAAGGGCTTCACAGGCAAGGATATTGCTGCTAGTAAGATTGCACCTAAATCAACTATTTATCGGATCATCAAGAACTTCAAGGAGAGAGGTTCAATTGTTGTGAAGAAGGCTTCAGGGCGCCCAAGAAAGTCCAGCAAGTGCCAGGACCGTCTCCTAAAGTTGATTCAGCTGCGGGATCGGGGCACCACCAGTGCAGAGCTTGCTCAGGAATGGCAGCAGGCAGGTGTGAGTGCATCTGTACGCACAGTGAGGCAAAGATTTTTAGAGGATGGCCTGGTGTCAAGAAGGGCAGCGAGGAAGCCACTTCTCTCCAGGAAAAACATCAGGGACAGACTGATATTCTGCAAAAGGTACAGGGATTGGACTGCTGAAAGTCATTTTCTCTGATGAATCCCCATTCCGATTGTTTGGGGCATCCGGAAAAAAGCTTGTCCGGAGAAGACAAGGTGAGCGCTACCATCAGTCCTGTGTCATGCCAACAGTAAAGCATCCTGAGACCATTCATGTGTGGGGTTGCTTCTCAGCCAAGGGAGTGGGCTCACTCACAATTTTGCCTAAGAACACAGCCATGAATAAAGAATGGTACCAACACATCCTCCGAGAGCAACTTCTCCAAACTCTCCATGAACAGTTTGGTGACGAACAATGCCTTTTCCAGCATGATGGAGCACCTTGCCATAAGGCAAAAGTGATAACTAAGTTGCTCGGGGAACAAAACATCGACATTTTGGGTCCATGGCCAGGAAACTCCCCAGACCTTAATCCCATTGAGAACTTGTGGTCGATCCTCAAGAGGCGGGTGGACAAACACAAAACCCCACAAATTCTGACAAACTCCAAGCATTGATTATGCAAGAATGGGCTGCCACCAGTCAGGATGTGGCCCAGAAGTTAATTGACAGCATGCCAGGGCGGATTGCAGAGGTCTTGAAAAAGAAGGGTCAACACTGCAAATATTGACTCTTTGCATAAACTAAATGTAATTGTCAATAAAAGCCTTTGACACTTATGGAATGCTTGTAATTATTCTTCAGTATACCATAGTAACATCTGACAAAAATATCTCATAACACTGAAGCAGCGAACTTTGTGAAGACCAATACTTGTCATTCTCAAAACTTTTGACCACGACTGCAGGCCTAACTGTCACAAGAAAAACATTTACCATGATGAGATGATACGTAGGTCTACATGCATTGTGAACTGTGCTCCAATCAGAGTTGTGCTGTCTGTCCCCACCCTGAGCGTTGATTCATCATGCAGAGGCTGTAGAGAAGACCGATTTTAGACATTGCATATAATTTAACAGATCCATTTCACACCATGCTGTTCATATAACTAATTTATTATAATTTACCGCTTTCTCGTTTTATTTATCCCGGGAAAAGGGAATAGTTTTGGGCGTTTAAATCCCGGTACCCGGGTTCCCGCCATTCAACTGTAGTATCTATAGAATGGACAGTGTGCATGAAGCCAGTATTACTATGACCCTTTATAGAAGAGAGTTAACACTCACACTACCAAGAATGTCTTGTTTAATTTTGGGATTTGGGAGTTGCTGCCCCCAAAAACATTGTAGAAAAAGAACTCCCGCTATATCCTGCTGTATTCTCTGTCCTCCAGGATTCCTGCTCTTCCTCAGAGGATTCATCAACTACGTCAAGATACGCAAAATGGCTGACTCATTTTCTACTCTCCCGCGAACCAGAGTCCTTTTCATTTACTAAAAGTGGAAAGCCGACCTCTATAGAGAAGTTTGCTCTGGCTTCTAAACTCCATCACGGGAGGCTGAGAATTGTTTTGCTGCAGTTGAATCGGACGATACTCTGTCTCTTGATGTAAACTGGTGGATGCTGACAATTCTGTAACTATTCAATCATTAGTGGTTTATGTCAAGTGCTATTTGCAATCAAGTCTGTGATGTATAAATAATGCCTTACATATTATTATTATTATCTGTTTATAGCAATGGTATGTGCTGTGCCCCTTTTAGCCAATAGGGGGCAGTCTTTGTCTTTTTCTGTCCTCTTTCAATGTGTTTGATATGGTGACAGCTCAGCTGTATGCTGACCCTTTGAGTCAAATTTATCCAACGAAGTGCTTTTTTTCCTCGATGTATATGATAATGAAATTAAAGTCTGTCTTAAGATGTTACCTTACATGTGGAGAACTGAATGAGTTTGTATTCAAGTGTCATTTTCACTCTGGAAATCCTAGTCAGTACAGTGATAGAGGTAGGCATTGAAACCTTGTTGCTAGGGTTTGTCAGTTTTAAGGAGTGTCTCAGGCAATTGATTTAACCTTTTATTTAGGAGGCCCTTTGAGACTAAGGTCTCTTTTTCAAGGGAGGCCTGCGTGACAAGACCTACAATTGGTTAAACTGTTCAGATTTATGTACCAGTCATATTTTACACTCATTAATCCTTAACTATTTGCATTGACGGTTTTGGTTGGCACAGGTTTTTGTACACAACCCTTGTAACTGTCACTGCGTGTAAGAGGGAGGGAGGGAGGGAGGGAGGGAGGGAGGTTGAGATGGACGTTAGGGTAGTAGAGTACACGTCTCCATGTTTGGGGTTAGTCAGTGAATCTGGTGTAATACACCAGAAGATATAGGTGCTGGATGGTTCCTTAATGAATCGGATGATCGATTGAGTTAACTGGCGTTTCACTCTCACATCTATAAAGACAGTGGGAAGGAAAAGCTGATGTGTTTATGCCCTGATTTCTTAATTTGGTCATAGAATGAAAGAGCTTTCACCCAAAAACATTATGTACATAACGATGATTGATGGTTTCAAGTGCACAGCTTTGACATCTCCCCGATGTTGCAATGTTTACCTAAATTGCTTAAGTCTGAAGATTGCATTAGCTAATCTTTGAGAACAGCTAACCTACCATGGCTGAACTGTTGTACACATCTACAATTTGTTCAACACTGTTATTTATAAACATTTGAGGGACTGAAATAATGCATCACCAAATTGAATTCCCTCTGAAATCCCACTCTTTAAATAATGTGAGCCTGCATGTACACTTTTCAGAGCATTTGTGTTTTCTATATTTCAGTGATAAATAAATCACTTTGTCAAAATATGTTGACAATGTAGTTTCATTGAGGAACATTTTATGACTGATATGTGGTTTTACCTACCATAGTTGAATGCACTGGCTGTAAGTCACTCTGAATAAGAATGCTTTCATTGATATCTTCTCTTCTGCATTTTGGGGTAACATCGTCTACACCCCAAAGCATCAAGTCGGCGATAAAGTAGCCAGAGGTGAGGGGGTGGAGCTTCCTTGTTACTTGTCATCTAAAAGAGTGTCTTCTGTCAACTTCTATCCTATACCTAGCCTGGGTAACAAACAGTCTATTTAGCTAATATTCCACTCCTTGTACTCCGTGTCATATGCCGAAGATAGATATATGTTTAGCATGGCAAGGAGTGGAATGATATCCTAACTGACTAGTACCCAGACTATCCGATTGCTGTTCTCAACGTACACTACATGACCAAAAGTATGTGGACACCTGCTCGTCGAACATCTCATTCCATAATCATGGGCATTAATATGGAGTTGGTCCCCCCTTTGCTGCTATAACAGCTTCCACTCTTCTGGGAAGGCTTTCCACTAGATGTTGGAACATCCATTCAGCCACAAGCGCATTAGTGAGGTCGGGCACTGACGTTGGGCGATTAGGCCTGATTTGCACTCAGCTTTCCAATTCATCTCAAAGGTGTTCGATGGGGTTGAGGTCAGGGCACTGTGCAGGCCAGTCAAGTTCTTCCACACCGATCTCGTCAAACCATTTCTGTATGGACCTCGCTTTGTACACGGGGGCATTGACATGCTGAAACAGGAACCCAAACTGTTGCCACAAAGTTGGAAGCACAGAATCGTATAGAATGTCATTGTATGCTGTAGCGTTAAGATTTCCCTTCACTGGAACTAAGGGGCCTATCCCAAACCATGAAAAACAGCCCCAGACCATTATTCCTCCTCCACCAAACTTTACAGTTGGCACTATGCATTGGGGCAGGTAGCGTTCTCCTGGCATCCGCCAAACCCAGATTCGTACGTTGGACTGCCAGATGGTGAAGAGTGATTCATCACTCCATAGAATGCGTTTCCAATGGCGGCTTTACACAACTCCAGCCGACGCTTGCCATTGCGCATGGTGATCTTAGGCTTGTGTGCCACTGCTCGGCCATGGAAACCCATTTCACCCATACAGTTCTTGTGCTGACGTTGCTTCCAGAGGCAGTTTGGAACTTTGGAGTGAGTGTTGCAACCGAGGACAGAAGATGTTTACACACTACGCGCTTCAGCACTCGGAGGTCCCGTTCTGTGAGCTTGTGTGGCCTACCACTTCGCAGCTGAGCCGTTGTTGCTCCTAGACTTTTCCACTTCACAATAACAGCACTTTCAGTTGACCGGGGCAGCTCTAGCAGGGCTGAAATTTGACGAACTGACTTGTTGGAAAGGTGCCATACTATGACGGTGCCACGTTGAAGGTCACTGAGGTCTTCAGTAAGGCCATTCTACTGCCAATGTTTGTTGATGGAGATTGAATAGCTGTGTGCTTGATTTTATACACCTGTCAGCAACGGGTGTGCCTGAAATAGCCAAATCCACTAATTTGAAGGGGTGTCCACATACATTTGTGTATATATAGTGTATCGAGGGACATTAATTTAGATTTGATGGAAATGAGCCGGGTTAACCTCTTCCTGCTTCTGTGTTATGGCCCATGTGTACTGGCTCCCAGGTGCTAAGTGGCCATCAACTCATTCCCCTGTCCTGTGTGACTTCCTTGGGGAAGCACTTAGTACTTGCTATTGGTAACAACCCACATCAGCCTCTTGTAAATTGCAGGCAGTCAAATCACCACGTTGTAAAAAATAAACAGAGTTCAGGGGAAGGGGTGTAGCAAGCAGGTTTGTGTGGAGGAACGGGTGTCGCCTGTCACCACTGACATGTGAGTCATCCTGGCCCTCCCCATCTCCCATTACCTCTCTTCTTTCATATGGGTACTGTGCTGTGTGTGTGTATGTGTGTGAGAGAGATGGGAGGAAGGGGCTGTGAAGGGGGCTGACTACTGATAAGGTCAGCCTGACAGTGGGAGGAGAGGAGAGGATGCTATCTAGCACTGGCTGGTGGGAGGAGGGAGGGAGGGCTGGTCACTGGGGTTACGGATGAGCAGTGGTGACTCATCGTCGAGCTGCCGTTGCCACGGGGGAAAGACAGCAGGTAGTCCAGCCCAGAGCCGCTCTACCCCCCTCAGCCTCGCTTTCATCTTCATCCTCACCTGCTCCTCATCATCACCACTCTGACTCACTCCTCCTGATTCCCAGCCAGGCAGGCAGCCTCGCCTACCCCAGGCATCACTTCAAAACAGGCTTACATTGTTATGGGGAATCATGCCTTTTTGTCTCTGTGCTAAACCTGGCAGGAAACATCTAAATGTTGCTCATGAATGAAGTTCTTTGGAGTGTCGCATCCCTTGTCTTCCGCATCTCATTGGTTGTTTCACTGGTGAGGACGATGGTGTGTTTGTGAATGACATTTGCTCTGTGGTGTTGGTGTGTGTGAGACAGAGAGCTGGTTCAGTCCTCTGATATTTCTACGCACCGGGCAGAGACGGGGGACGGGGGATGACGTCACGTCACACTATGCTTCTGCAGTGCATCAAGGGAACTGGCCTGTCTGACTCATACCAGAGGAGCAGGGAGGGGGAGGGGGTCTGCTCTTTTCTCCTAGCCCTCGCTCTCCCCCTCTGCTTCCCTCGCTTGGGGAAGGGGTCTGCTCTTTTCTCCTGTCTCTCGCTCTCCCCCTCTGCTTCCCTCGCTTGGGGAGAGAATGCCAAGAGTGTGCAAAGCTGTCATCAAGGCAAATGGTGGCTATTTGAAGAATCTCAGATATAAAATATATTTTGATTTGTTTAACACTTTTTTGGTTACTACATGATTCCATATGTGTTATTTCATAATAATAGTCATTTTGATGACTTCACTATTATTCTACAATGTAGAAAATAGTAAAAATAAAGAAAAACCCTTGAATGAGTAGGTGTGTCCAAACCTTTGACTGGTACTATATATATATATATATATATATATATATATATATATATATATATATATATGTGTGTATTCGTCACAGCCCTCCCCCGTTTCCTCTCTCTCTCCCAGCTGACTGAACGCATGAATGGACCTCTCTCCTTTCACTGGGTGGAGGCGAAGAGGAGGGGAATGAGGGAGACACACGGAGCCAAGCAGCAGTGTCACACATTCACAAATAAAAAAGAAGGCAAGCTAGAGCTCCCAAAGCAGCTGGGCTGAATAGCTCTGAAATGAGTTGTATGCTGATCTCATCCATTGCCACCTACGTAGGCTGTTTCTATGTGTACAGTATTTGTGAATGAGTGTTGTCCTTTATTCATTCATACTGAAATGCCTGTGGATATTTGCCATCTTGTATCATGTATGTGAATATCTGTAATTGTCTTCTGTCAAGTACTGGTGCAACCTGCATGCATGTGCGACATTGACTGAAAGGAAATGGGTCAAGGTAAAGAGTCTAGAATTCTAGAATGGGCATAATGTTCATTCATAACTCCAGTTTAGCATGTAGCATTTTCATCAATGAATTGCGGATAAACTTATGTTAATGAATCCCTGGATAACCAGCTGTGCTCTGTAGACTGTGTGTGCGTGCGTGCGTGCACGCATGCATGCATGTTCGCACACCTGTGCGTGTGTGTGATGCTAATAGAGGACTGTATTCGCATGTGCTCATTGTCAGTCAGCAGACCCTGGCCGTCTCTGCCTTGATCGTGTATGAGTCAGTACTGCATTGCTCAGTGGGAGGGGCTAGGATTCAATCTCCTGCTGGAAGCCAAACACACACGCACACTAACGCTGCATGCTGTCACATCTGGCCCTCCGCTCCAAAGCCTGGCCTATAATTAGCTGCCTGCATAGCTTATAGCCTCGCGATGATCTAACCGAATGGATTTGGATGCTGTTCCATAGAGAGCTGGAGGAAGAAGAGAAGAGTTAAAGAGAGATATGGAGGAGGCTGGGGAAGAGAGTGTATGTGAGTGTGTGAGGGGAGGCGGGGTGGACATAGAGCTCGTAGGTGGGAGTGTCTTAAGAGCATGCTCAGCTGGAGTTTGGTCTGCCCATAGAATACAGCAACCACAATGTAATGACTTCAGGATGATTTCATAGATGCTAACACTGATAGCCAATGTTATATTTGGATACAACAGGATGTGCGTGACACCTCTTTACTTGTACACTGTACAGCAACACGAGTATATAAGCGCTCCATAAGTTAGCCCTGGCTATGACTCATCCATCCTCTCCCACTGTCATCCCTTTGTCATCCCACTGCAGAAGTGGTCAGTCATCTGTCAGTCCTTCCCCACTGCCTGCCTGCCTGCCTACTTGTTGCCTGCCTACCTGCCTCCTTCCCTACTGCCTCCCTCCCTACTGCCCTCCCCCCCCTACTGCCTCCCTCCCTACTGCCTCCCCCCCTACTGCCTCCTTTCCTACTGCCTCCCACCCTACTGCCTCCTTCCCTACTGCCTCCCTCCCTACTGCCTCCTTCCCTACTGCCTCCTTTCCTACTGCCTCCCACCCTACTGCCTCCTTCCCTACTGCCTCCTTCCCTACTGCCTCCCGACCCTACTGCCTCCCTCCCTACTGCCTCCCACCCTACTGCCTACCTACTTCTTGCATGCCTACCTTCCTCCTACCCTACTGCCTCCCACCCTACTGCCTCCCTCCCTACTGCCTCCTTCCCTACTGCCTCCCTCCCTACTGCCTCCTTCCCTACTGCCTCCTCCCTACTGCCTCCCTCCCTACTGCCTCCCTCCCTACTGCCTCCCTCCCTACTGCCTCCTTCCCTACTGCCTCCTTCCCTACTGCCTCCCTCCCTACTGCCTCCTCCCTACTGCCTCCCTCCCTACTGCCTCCCTCCCTACTGCCTCCTTCCCTACTGCCTCCCTCCCTACTGCCTGCCTACAGGCTGCCTCCCTCCCTACTGCCTCCTTCCCTACTGCCTCCCA